AAAGCAAAAAAAAGGCTTTGCTTATTTTTCATGCCTTTCTATTTACCGATTTTTCTTCTGCTTATTTTTAACGCATTTATATTTAATTATTATTTTTATTAACTAATCTTTTTGGAGGGGTTTTTTTTTTTTACGTCGCATATCGTAACCTGGGCCAGAGCTTGGGGGGCGCGGGAGCTCCCGCAAAGCCAAACGAACGCGCCGCTTATTTTTTTTTTTTATGCCTTTATATTTCATTAAATTTCCTGCTGATTTTTTTAGGCGTTTATATTTAATGACTTTTTTTTTTTGATGAATTAATTTTGGGAGGAGTTGCAGTTGCATAACCGTGATCCGGGCCAGAGCTTGGGGGGCGCGGGAGCTCCCGCAAAGCCAAACGAACGCGCCGCTTATTTTTTTTACGCATTTACACGTCAATTTTTTTCTCCTGCTTATTTTTAATGCCTTTCTATTCTTTTTCTTTTTTAATTAATTACATTTTGGGGGTTGTTTTTTCCTTTTTTTTTTTTCTCCTGCTTATTTTCCTTTCTATTTTTGGTTATTTTTTTAGCTTTCTTGAAAATTATTTCACCGTAACTCTTTGGGGAGAAATTTGACTAAAAAAAATGTAGGTTTTGTAAAGTAATAAGTATTTACAGATTGTAAGTCTCACCCCCCCCCCCCCCCCCCTCTCACCCCCGCCGAGGGCAAGCTCTGGAGCTGGGGTGAGCGGCCGGGGGGGCAGGGGGGGGGCCCCCCCAAAAAAAAACCAACCCGAGTGCATGCATCGCGGCGTGATGCCGGGAGGGTTCTGCTGCCCCCCCCAAAAAATAAAAATAACAATTTTTTTGGCTAGGACGCAATGAAAAAGGGCAGCTGGGACACGGGGACACGAAGCGAGTGGAAGCCCCGAAGCTCATCGAGGTGCTGGGGGGCGAAGCCATCGTGCTGGCAGCCTGCGGCCGTAACCACACGCTGGCGCTTACAGGTACTGGTGGAGGTGGGGGGGAGGTGGGGGGGGGACGGGGGACCCCCACCTGACATTTTGGGCAAATTGGCTGAAATCGGCCCGTTTTGCCCCGTATCGCCGCCTTATTTTTTTTTTGCGTTGCAGAGAGCGGCTCGGTGTTCGCCTTCGGGGAGAATAAAATGGGGCAGCTGGGGCTGGGGAACCAGACCGACGCCGTGCCCAGCCCTACGCAGGTATCGCCGCTCCTTTCTCTGCTTCCCAACGTTTTTGGGGGTGAAAAACCGGCAGATTTGGGGGTTTCTCATGGAAGAAAATCCCCAGCAGAGCCCAAAGCCCCGTAGGATGCAAGAGCATCCCGCTCGGGGATGCCGCTTCGCTTCCAGCTTCGGTGCGAGTAAATGCAAAGAGGAATTGAAAATAAAACCCCAGATGTGAGGATTTTGGGGGTTCCCCCTGGGAAATGCACTTTTTTGCCTTTTTTCTCGGGGTTTTTGTTTTTATTTTACACACACACCCCACACACACCCCCCCCCCTTTTTTCTGCTTCTCCCGCAGATCATGTACAACGGGCAGCCCATCACCAAACTGGCCTGCGGGGCCGAATTCAGCATGATCATGGATTGCAAAGGAAACCTCTACTCCTTTGGGTGCCCCGAGTACGGGCAGCTGGGTACGCCGCTATTTTGGGGTGCTTCGCTAAAATTTTGGGGGCCTGGGGGAGGAGAAAACGTTCCCCGCCTCAGTTTCCCCATCTGGGCAACCGAAGCGTCCCTCCCCTTTACCCCCAGCAAAAAAGAGCGGGGTGGGAGCCGCAAATAAAAAGGGGTTTGCAAGAGGAGAGGGGAAGCAGCCGGCTTGGAAATAACGGGGTACGGGGGGGGGGGAAGGCACCCCGTTTTCATCCCGGTGCCCGTCGGCAGGGCATAATTCGGACGGGAAATTCATCGCCCGGGCGCAGCGGATAGAGTACGACTGCGAGCTGGTGCCGCGCCGCGTGGCCATCTTCATCGAGAAGACCAAAGATGGGCAGATCCTGCCCGTCCCCAACGTGGTGGTGCGGGACGTGGCGTGCGGGGCCAACCACACGGTACGGGTGAATATTTGCGCGTAGCCATAAATGCCCGCAGCGCGCCTTAAGTGATGCAGGCCCGCAGCGTGCGTTTAAGGGTAAACGTTTGCAGGAGCGTTGGAGGATACGGATTTGCAGCATGCATTTAAGGCTGAAGGTTTGCAGGGTGCGCGTAAGGATAAATGTTTGCAGGGTGCGTTGGAGGATAGAGGTTCGCAGCATGCCTTTTAAGGATAAAGTTTTGCAGCGTGCATGTTAAGGATGAAGGTTTGCAGCACGCATTTAAGGATTGAAATCTGCAGCATGCCTGTAAGGATAAATATTTGCCGCGTGCATTTAAGGGTCGAGATTTGCAGCGTGCGGTTAAGCATAAAGTTTTGCAGCGTGCACGTAAGTGTGGAGATTTGCATTGTACGTATAAGGATGAGCACTTGCAGCGTGCATTTAAGGATCGAGGTTCGCAGTTTTAGGATCGAGATTTGCGGCGGGCATATCGGGATAGACATTTGCAGTGTGCGTTGAAGGATAAATACTTGCAGCGTGCATTGAAGGCGAAAGATTCGCAGCGTGCGTTTCAGGGTAAATTCTTGCAGCGTGCATGTAAGGATAAATATTTGCAGCGTGCCTTGAAGGATAAATGCTTGCAGCGTGCATTTAAGGACCGAGATTTGCAGCGTGCATTTAGCGTTTGCAATACGCGCTGCAGCCGATGCCATTTATTGCGGCTGCTGCAGCTCTCCCT